AAAAAAAAACTATATATAAGCTCAAGGAAAGGAACATTAGCACTTACATAACAGTCCCGCTTGTAAGAATCGAACCAAAACGAACTTCAATATAAGTTAGGTATTCGGAAGCGAAACGGGAAATCCAAACAGACACTTACTCTAACACAGAAAACTGTAGTCTTACGGCAAACGACAACAACCAAACGATAAACAAAAAAAACTTCAACTACTCTTCTCTAAAAATCGCACACGTCAACATTAAAAAAGGGTCCGCGTGATTTGCTTACGAGATTGCTTCGTAACCTCAAAGCATGCGCACGCGAGTCGCGCGCGCACAAGTTTGTTAACGTCTTCTTAACAGCAGGCAAAACCGTGGCAGCCGTTACAGCAACAACAGTTTTTACATCAACTGTTATGTCAACTGATGACTTTGAGCCTAAACAACGACATTTCTGCCCCAGAAAACAGAAATTTTCAGTCAAAAACTTAATAATAAGAATACATCATTAACAAATCCATTTATCATTAAACATGTCACACCACAGTCTTACTACTTCACAAGGCTTCAGCACAGACATTCTTTGACAAGTCACAAACTCTTTTGGATTATTATTAGATGGGATAAGTGCTAGACAAAATGGCTTGGCAGGTTTCTTTTCTAGATATATACACGTCTGGATGTGTAATTTATGCTGCATTTGATGACACTATAACATGATGAACTGCTGAACAATTTCTTGATACAACTCCATACATTGCAGATGGTATTACTGTTATAGAGATTTAACATTTAAGGCAAGGTTGATTTGAGTTCTTCTTTTTTGTGGAAATTCTGATCATTATGTGGAACAAAGGATAGTACCTATAAAACAAACTAAAAAATTTGCACCTAAGTTTTTTTTTGGGACGGCAACAAATATTTAACCATGGTCAATTTTTCTCAAAGACGAACATTTTCAAGCGAAAGGGTAGCAAGTGTATGTGACGTGCTTTGACAAAACAAGCTCACCGGTAGTTAGCCACCCCTCCCGCGTGTTTTTTCATTGCGGTTGTTGAGCTCATTCCATAAAATATTTTGTACTGCTTTCCATCCCTTTCAATCAATTCTCCACCTGATGAATAAGAAATTTTGGCAAATGAGAGAAAATATCAACCTCTCAGAAGTTAATCAGTAGTTGTTATGTTTTTATCCAACCATAGAGATGAGTCATCCTTATGTAGGTTCTGTCAAAAAAATGTCAAGAATTACCAATAGTGACTTTAGATAATGCCACACTAAGGCTCAATGCAACTAAAGAATAAACACTTATATTTCAGTAAGTCAATCTGCAAAATTTAAGCTATCTAACAAAGATCTCCTGGGATTAAAAAACCTTCAAACTTCTTGCTGTTTCTAAAATGTGTGATTTGCTAGAGACTGTCTTTGAAACACTTACTTTTTCCAAATTTTGAAATAATGTTAGCAAATTTCTCTTCCTTTAAATAAGAATTAAAGATTCTGTCCAATTCTGCATTAGGTGTCCTGCTTTACTTACCAGACTGATCATGGCCAGCAAACATGCCTCCCATCATGACAAAATCAGCACCAGCACCTGAGGTCACGCATGAAACAATGTTAAAAAAATGCATGCTCCATGAGATGAGTGCATGAATATCAGAATTTGCACCAAAATGTGTCAAAAAATTTCTTGTTTGGGAAGGGGTGGGGACCTCAGAGAATGCCAAACATAAAGTTTGCCAAAATAATGTTAAAAAGCCATTAATTTTACCAAACGCCTTAGAGACATCTCCAGGACATGTACAGCCCCCATCCTGCAAAAAAGAAAAACAAATTTTGAACAATTGAATAAAATCCACAGGATATTCATATGGACAAGGCATGACCAGAGAATTCTCCAGACCACCTAAATGTTGATTGCATAAGCTAAGTTTCATTCAGACTCAGAGTATATTCTCCCCTCACTAAAACTATTCTCCAACTATTCTGCAACGGTATATGTTCATGGAATTTCAGAGTCATATAGCAATCATAACCAAGTTTTTGCCTATTGGCTTGCCTTCCAGAGTATTATTTCAACATGGTCTTAAACAGACTTACTGGCTCTGAACACTTAAACAGATACCAGAAAAGAGAAACATTTATGAGATTCAGGTTTTCTCAAAAACTCTACTTTTAGAACACAGGATAGGCAGTTGTATAAACACTTTGGATACAATCCCTTCCACAGAAAAAATTCTGGTAGTCTAAAGATCAAGGTCTGATGCCTTCAACAAAAAAAGTTTGGCAGGAATATTAATTGCAATAAACACTGCATCATAATGTGAACATACAGATATGATGTGTCCTTTAAGGCCATGTGCAGCATCAGCACATTCTAACACTGCACTCAGCTGAGGGTAACCTACACCAGTCTGTCGCCGTGTAGTGCAAACAGAGCCTGTGACAAAACAGTTACAATAAGTTTGAGTTACCTCAAGACTAAAAGAATCCACAAAGCAACAGTTCAAAGTTTCTGGGAACACTAGTAAGGCCGTAAGCTTTTTTTTCCCCCTATTTCAGTGATCATAAATTCAAACACAAGGCTAATACATGACATAACTCATCAACATATTTTCTGTACCTCTGCTGTTGGGAAATCCAACGGTTGAATCCAGTCACAGAGTCTCAAATTACAAAACTGATTTCTAGCTTTTTTATCTGACAACTGCAAAAGTGTCTTGTTACTTAGTACTAACCAGGTCCAATGCCAACCTTGACAATGTCAGCACCATTGAGAATTAACTGTTCCACCATTTCTCCAGTCACCACATTCCCTGCCTAATGGTAGAGTAAAATGTTACCAAGGGATTCAAGTTATTATTTTCCCCTACAAAATTGCTGGATGGTTGAGAAGATATTGCTATCAAAGGTTTTTCTAGCGCAGAAAGGCCATTTCTGAGATGCTCAAAGCCTCTGTTTCACATTGAGGCAACTTGCTTAATAGCTATTTCACAGTTTATTTCACTTTCTAACAGTCTGAGGTACTGTCACAGTATGTTATTCAGCAGAAAAAAACCAACAGAACGCTTGAACAAAAAGAGTCCAAACATCTATCAAGTTCAAAAGCATATGATTACAGAACAAAAGCTATTCAGGAGGGGGGGAGGGGTACATTTGTCACACAACATTTCACAGCTAACAGGGTTCTACTACTCAATATTAAACATAATAAAAATTATTATTGACATTACTTACCATAATGATGTGGTCCGGAAAGTGGCTTCTCACAGTTTTAACAAATTCCACAAAATGTTCAGAATAGCCATTGGCAACATCAAGACAGATTGCTGGTACATCTGGAACAGCTTCCAGAACCTGCTTTACCTTTGATAAATCTTCATCAGACATTCCACAACTTGCAATTGTATACTGAAAATAAACGAGTAAATAGTTTTAAATGTGATTATTGAAGATCAAGTAGTAAATACAACTTACACTAAATCATTTTGTTATAATCATTTACAGGTAGAGTAAAAAGTTTCATTATATTTGCTGTGATATTAAGATATTTTCTGAATGTTGACATATGCATAATGTTTGCTGTAATTTTAATCAAAATGGTAGTCAATTTTTCAGTCAAATTGGCAACCAACTGGTGGCAATTTAAGGCCTTGTTTTCAATCCTGAATTGGATTCTAAAATGAGATTGGGTTAAGGGTTGGTTTATTTGCCAGAGAGTAATCTTCTTATGTTACTTCCATCAGAATTTTATGGCTTGGTATTAAAAGTTAATAATCTTTTGAACAAATAAGAAACTACCATGGCTTGCCATGACCTTTACCAACTCATTTAAGTTTGCCTTGATCTATGATTACAATAACAAAGAAAACAATAACTTAACTACCTTAAGGTATCTCGTACTTTGCTAATCTCAGAAAATTCTTTTCCCCTGATTTTTCTATACTTCAGATGTTCCATAAAACCAAACTAAAATTCCATGACTTTCCATGCCTGAATAATGATAACACCACTTTCCAGGTTTGGTATGAACCTTGCAGACTGTGACTAAATCCCTACTTAAAATTCCCAGGAAATGTACCTGGGTTTCCAAAGAAGTGTCTTCCATGGCTCACTTCTGCTTTTCACTTTGACAGAAATTTGAGGATTGTGAAATCATATTTAAAGTGATATAATTTGCTGTCTTTTATTTGGTGAAAAGAACAAAGCACTTACAGGTAACACTTTTGGATGGTCTGTAGCAAATTGCTTCCATTCTTCTACGGAGTAATGCTTGTGAATTGCTGTCAAAAGTTTGTGCTGCAAATCAAATGCAAAGTGTTCCTCAATTTAACAAAGAATCAGAGTAATTGTCTTTAAAGTGGGGTAAAACTTAAGTTCATAGGTTATCAATGACATGGTGAACCCAAGAACCAAAAGCAAAGGATGAACTACCATGAAACCTCCAGTAACCACCTAAAGTGCTCTTTGTAACATAAAATTAAGTGGAGTAGTTAATAGAGGGGGCAATTATTTAATTGGTTCCAATCTTACCACATATTATTGTTACTAATTTTACTTAATAGTTAGTCACCATTAGTTAGTAAACCATAATGAAGCTGAGTTTTTCCAGTATCATACTTGGTATTCATACTTTTCCAAACCTAATGTGTTCACTAACTATCAAAAGCAAGGTTTTCATAAAGGAATTTTGTAGAAGGAGAATAGCATCAAATAACAAGAGAAGAATCTCCAGGTAGAAATTAAAAATAGCCCATAATCAAAATTTAGTCATATTTTCTGATTTCCAAAAGCTTAATAAAACCCCTGACACAGAATAGTACTGAAAGAAACTGTTTGGGGCTGCGTCGGTGGGAGTAACGA